TTAAGAAAAATCCTTCAATCCTATTTGAAAGGAGATGTCATGATATTGAAAGACATTTTTCCATGACGGACATTGAAAGACATTTTCCCATGACTGACATTGAAAGACATTGAAAGACATTTTTCCATGACGAAATCTCTCTATCCCACAGCTTCTTCTAAAGTGAACTTAAAGAGATTTTTCATACCGGGTTTTCAATTTTCACCTCAAACCATACCGTTGACGACGTGTGAGACACAAACCATGACATAAATTTCAGTTTCTATGACAGCTAACACGCTTGAGCTTTAAAAAATGTGTATGAAAGAAGTTATTTTTAATCCATTTCAGCGATTGAGTGGGCTGGGGAAAAAAAAGGCCCTTTCCATGACAGCTAACACGCTTGAGCTTTAAAAATGTATGAAAGAATGAAAGAATTGTTTTTAATCCATTTCAGCGATTGAGTCTGCTGGGAAACATTTTCTTAGAGCTCAGGGGAAAAAAAAAGGCTCTTTCCATGAGAACTAACACTCTTGAGGTTTAAAAAATGTATGAAAGAATTCATTTTTTTTTAATTCATTTCAGCTATTGAGTGGGCTGGGGAAAAAAAGGCCCTTTTCATGAGAGCTAACATGCTTGACCTTTAAAAATATAGGAACGAATTTATTTTTAATCCATTTCAGCGATTGAGTGGGCTGGGAAACATTTTCTTAGAGCTCAGGGAAAAAAAGGTTCTTTCCATGACAGCTAACACGCTTGAGCTTTAAAAATGTATGAAAGAATTTTTTTAATCCATTTCAGCGATTGAGTGGGCTGGGAAACATTTTCTTAGAGCTCAGGGAATGTGTGTCTCCAGGTTGAATGCACAGCACACACGGATGGGAAGTCGAAACTCGAGTGGCTTAAAAAATAAATATACGAAATTTGGTTCATCGAGCTGACTAGGAAAAATTCTCAGAGTTCTGGAAATAATTCTGAGTTCAATCATGGGACATGAGAACAGAAATGTATTACAATCATCATGTCATCATTGTTTTCGAAAGCCAAAAAAATTCCTCATGAAAGAACATCTTTTCTTCGTGGTTGTGGGATGGAGTAGAGATGTTGCATCTTGAACAACCCACACTGATCTGAACAGAAATATGAAATGTTTTTATATATATAAGAAAGAAATGAACTGAAAGTGAAAGTAAAAATGAAATTGTATTGGCTGGAAATATTTCTTGGCTGTTGAATGGGAAAAATATTTCCAAGCTGAAAAAAAAAAAAAAAAACTCTTTCTTTTTTCTTAATTTGAGTCTCACTTTGTTTACTTGGAATTCCAAATGGTCTTTTGAAAACATTCTCACAAAAAAAGGGGATCTTCCTTTTTTTCTATTAATTGATGTCTTCACTTTGTTTACTTTGAATGTTCTAGAATGAGTCATGGTCTATTTTTAGAAACAGGGAGAAAACATTCCACACAAAAGGGGGTAGGGTTAATTTTATCATGTCTAGAAGACATGATAAAAATTAACAAAAGTTTTTTTTTTTTTTTTTTTTTTTTTTACATCTCAGATTTTTTTTCTGAGCTCTGAAAATTTTTTCCCAGTCGGCAACCAAGTGAAAAATTTCCAATCGGCTTTTACTTTCACTTTCAACTCTTTTCTATAAAAAGTATTCCACGTTTTCTGTTCAGAACCGTGTGGGCTCTCCATGGCGCAACATGCTTTTTCTCTCTCTACCTCATCTGCAGCTCTATGACAGCTAACACGCTTGAGCTTTAAAAAATGTATGAAAGAAGTTTATTTTTAATCCATTTCAGCGATTGAGTGGGCTGGGAAAAAAAAAAAAAAAAAAAAAAGGCCTTTCCATGACAGTTAACACGCTTGAGCTTTAAAAATATATGAAAGAATTTATTTTTTTAATCCATTTCAGCGATTGAGTGGACTGGGAAACATTTTCTTAGAGCTCAGGGGAAAAAAAAAGGCTCTTTCCATGAGAACTAACACGCTTAAGCTTTAAAAAAAAATGTATGAAAGAATTTATTTTTAATCCATTTCAGCGATTGAGTGCTGGGGGAAACATTTTCTTAGAGCTCAGGGGAAAAAAAGGCTCTTTCCATGACAGCTAACACGCTTGAGCTTTAAAAATGTATGAAAGAATTTATTTTTAATCCATTTCAGCGATTGAGTCTGCTGGGAAACATTTTCTTAGAGCTCAGGGAAAAAAGGTTCTTCCCATGACAGCTAACACGCTTGAGGTTTAAAAATGTATGAAAGAATTTATTTTTAATCCATTTCAGCGATTGAGTCTGCTGGGAAACATTTTCTTAGAGCTCAGGGAAAAAAAAAAAGGCTCTTTCCATGACAGCTAACACTCTTGAGCTTTAAAAATGTATGAAAGAATTTTTTTTTTTTTAATCCATTTCAGCGATTGAGTGGGCTGGGGAACATTTTCTTAGAGCTGAGGGAATGTGTCTCCAGGTTGAATGCACAGCACACACGGATGGGAAGTCGAAAACTCGAGTGGCTTAAAAAAAAAAAATATACGAAAGTTGGGTTATCGAGCTGACTAGGAAAAATTTTCAGAGTTCTGGAAATAATTCTGAGTTCAAGCATGGGACATGAGAACCGAAATGTATTACAATCATCATGTCATCATTGTTTTCGAAAGCCAAAAGAATTCCTCATGAAAGAACATCTTTTTTTCCTGGTTGTGGGATGGAGTAGAGTTGCTGCATCTTGAACAACCCACACTGATCTGAACAGAAACATGAAATGTTCTTATAGATATAAGAAATGAATTGAAAGTGAAAGTAAAAATGAAATTGTATTGGCTGGAAATATTTCTTGGCTGTTGAATTGGAAAAATATTTCCAGAGCTATAAAAAAAAAAAAAAAAAAAAAATCTTCCTTTTTTTTCTATTAATTTGATGTCTTCACTTTGTTTACTTTGGAATGGAGAAACCCAAAGACTTTTTAAAACATATCCTTTTTAAAAACTTATCATATCTTATAAACTTTAAACTCATCCTTTTTAAAACATATAATTCCTAGAATGAGTCATGGTCTATTTTTAGAAACAGTGAGACAACATTCCCACACAAAAGGGGGGGTAGGGTTAATTTTTATCATGTCTAGAAGACATGATAAAAATTAACAAAAAGTTTTTTTTTTTTTTTTTTTTTTTTTTTTTTTTTTTTACATCTCAGAATTTTTTTTCTGAGCTCTGAAAATTTTTTCCCAGTCGGCAACCAAGTGAAAAATTTCCAATCGGCTTTTACTTTCACTTTCAACTCTTTTCTATAAAAGCATTCCACGTTTTCTGTTCAGAACCGTGCGGGCTCTCCATGGTGCAACATGCTTTTTCTCTCTCTCTACCTCATCTGCAGCTAGGATGTTCAAGAAGTGGAATTCTTTGGGAATACCTTACAATTTCACGAGCTAGCTGTTTCTTATATTTCGAGGAGATTTCAATGGAAATTGTTTATAGATGTCACCTATTGCAGATGGGGGAAAAAGTCTATACTGGATCGCTGGAGACATCTCATCCAGATAGGTCACGTTATATTTTTTCCCACACCTAAATAAATTGGACATGAGCCATCCTTTTGTTTTCTCATCCAACAAAGATAGACACTGCAGACCGTTTTGGGTTTTCACTCTTCGCGAAACCGAGACGAGCCGCAGCGACACTTTGCGTTTTCTATGAGCGCAATAATGGATCACGTGAGCAGCCATTTTGTTTCCCATCTCACCCAGATAGGTCATGTTGTATTTTGTTTCATGCACCTAGCCAATTTTGGACATGAGCCATCCTTTTTTTTTTTTTTTTTTTCTATCGAACCAAGATAGACTCTGGAGACAATTTTGTTTCTCAACGGAAAAGTAAATTTTCTGAATGGGTACCGGTGTTCGAATACTTTTGTGGCCGACTGTACCCACTGGTGCTTTGATGTGCCTATGTATTTTTAATCTCTAGCAATATTTGTAGGATTTCACACAGTTTTTGACATGATGCTTCATCTCGGTCCATACATAAAGAGAACAAATGAACTTCATAGTATCTGCTATTCCTGGATGCGATAATTATGCAGATGATAAAAGATGAATCTGCGGAAGCATTCGGAACAAAAGGACGAGAAACATCTATACAGATGTCGCAAACAATATTACCATTAGAGCACTGGTACGGCTTGAATTCTAGCTTAAAAAATGACAAATTGTTTTTTAGAAGGTTGCCTCGAGATCATGCAGTTGAGGTTCAAAACTTTTTGAAAATCTAAAAAAAGAGGTTTTGTTAAGGAATCAATTTCAGCTTTCAAAAGATCGCCAGCAACGACGTTTTCAAAGCCTTGCACATGCCTAATACGAGTGCTGGTAAATAAAATCTAAATTGCGTAATTGCCGAGGAGACTATTTGTGGGGATTCTGCTTAAACGCTTATATTAACGGTTTCTAATCAGATTCCTGCTCTCTTCATAAGTAGAATTGGATCTCGTATGGGTAAACCAGTGAAGTGTCTAGTGTGTAGGAATATGATAATAACACTTTTCTTACTCGAATAAGAGTAATATTTATTCATATCGTATCTCACAAACAGAAAATCGGCCATTGTTCCTTGGATTTCATGGTGGCTTAATGTTTCCGCTCCTCTTTTGCTAAACTAATCAAACTTAATCAAAAACTTGATGATGACCCAATAAATCGTTGTGACCGAAGCGACACCGCGGACCCGAAATAATTCTTGATTTAAATAACTTGTCTCATTTTAGGTAAGCTTTTTGTCTTCTAAAGATGAATTTCAACTAATTTCAAATTCAGAATGCCCGGCTGCTCTTCCTCCTGGTTAAAAGCTTTCTAGGCAACGCTAATGGGCATTCTATTTATTTTCTTTCGTGTGTATTTTAATAGAGGTTAAACCTCTATGTGTTATTTTAAGATATCTTTCTGTTTACCTTTGGCAACAGAACACGAGATAAAAAAGAAAAAATATTTAATTTAAATTGTGATTAGGAAAGCTGAATAAATAATTAAAAAAATTTCTGCAATAAGAAAATATTTTGTGATTTTCCCATTCTTTCATAGATAGGCTGAACTGTTTTTCGAATTTGCATGTTAATTATTGTTGTTTTTGTGCGGAGCTATGAAATATGTCTGACATATGTAAACTTTGGCACATTATGGGAAATATTGCTGTCAGATTGTAGAAATCTGTCATTTATCCCTTACTTGTATTATTTTTCTAAAAGTATTTTTTATAAGAATAAAATATATGTTTTGGAAATAAAGTCATGCTAATTACAAGTAAGTATGCTAATAAGTTTCATTTTGTGGACAGTGGCTTTGACATCAAGCGCCACATAACTCTAGTTTCCCCCCCCTTCAGTTAAATTTTTTGAAAGTTTTGTAATATAAATTTTGCATATTGTGTATAAATATTCTTCTCTGAGATTTTATGTATTTATTTTCTGTTGATTAGTTATTTTAGATGTTTTTGATGATCGGAAAAAATTAATTAATTAATTTCTGTGGTATCCAATTAAAAAATGAAATATCCTACAAATTAAGAATTAAAAAATCATTTTAAATATTGTACGCTGTGGGTTAATAATATAAGCTAGGAACAAGTTTTATTTTGTTGAAGATTGTTAATTTTAATGGCTATCAGTAATTATTTTAAGACTTATTTTTACAAAATGCATTTATTGTCAATAAACTGCGTACGTTTTTTATACTTAATTGCAGTGAATTAAAAATGTTAATGGCTTTATAGGCGGTTTAGCTTATTAAAATAGGAATGATCTTTGCAGTTTCATGCAGAGCAGATAAGCAGTTTAGCTGCTATACGTAATAGTTTATTCAGTTACCGTATATGAATACAGATTTTTGCTTAGCATTACAAACCAGTTTAAAGAAATAGCTCTTGTATCGTTAAATGAATGGTAGGGTATGAAAGAGATGCTGTATTGCTGTCTCAGTGACTGAAATCTGTTTATGAAATTATTCAAAGCATATATGTGAAAAACTGAACGGAAATTGGCAGTTTTGTTTGTAACTAACATTGTTTGTAACGAAAGTATTTAATAATTAATGTATTTTATATATAGCAAATATTTTTGTGTCCATTAGGAATTAAAATTTAGTGTATCTTTTTCGTAATGTGAGTGAATGCTAATTAGTAAATATAATTCTTGTTGTTAAAGGAAAGTTTTGACACTATGTGTTAATTAATGACAATGGAGATGGTAATGCAGAATTCTTAAATATAATAATTTTAATCTGCAACATTTTAAACTACGATATTCAGTTCCTCTTAATAAAATTAGTTTGATTCTAATTTCATGCACCAAAGTAAATAAATTCTGTAAATCTTGTGAATGTAACCAAACATCCTTCAAATCAATTCTGGGCTGTCATTTTCAGAGTTGTATTTCCTAAAAATTTTTTCTTTGGTGATGTATAATTCAGAACATATTCAGTTGACCCCTCAGTAACATGAGTTAATATAAGATAGATTTGTATATCAGGCAGTAAAATGTGAACTTGTTTATATAACATGGTAAAAGAATGAGACAGGTGTTGCAATTTTATAAAATTTTAGCTCCAGTAATTAGTATAACCATTTGCTGGTTATTGAAATGCAGTTATCTTGAGAAGCACATTACCTTGGAGACTGGCTCATGAAGACAGAGTGAAAATTTTATTTTTACATTGAATATGAAAAAAAAAAGAGAACACAGAAAATTGTCTTAGAAAGAGAGAGAGGAGCAAAGATTTACCAAAGTGACGTATGAAAAAATAAAATTCCTTGTTAGTTTGACAAACATGTGCCACAGAGAAGAACTCTAAGAAGAGCAGAAAATTTATATCTCTCTGAGAGAAAATTAAAATTTTGGATAGATTAAAATCTAGTGAAAATCACATATTTTGTAGTAAAGAAGATGTGCAAAGTAACAGTAATAAATTGTTGAAAGCACAAGAAGATACCGTTTTAAACAAGGAAAATAATAGAGAGGAAACAAGTCAGCCCAACCAATATTAAAAAGCGGATGCCATTGGAACCTAATTATGGATAGTTTTAACAGTGAATAAAAGTTAAAAAAAAAAAAAAAAAAAAAAAAATAGATGTTTTATTTAATGCAAAATGAGGGGGGAAATATCAGTGTGTTTTGGAAAGAGTTGAAAAATATTTTAACTCTTACATAATAAATATTTATTTTACATCTTTGTTATGTAGTATCTGTCTGTATAAATGTATGTTTATGCATAAGTAAACTTTATATGAGCTGCTTATTTGCCAAAACGATTAAGTCCATAAAAGAAAAGGTGGAAAATATGTATTGATAAATGTTTGTACATTTCTTGTGAAAAAAAGTTTGTTATTAATAGCCATTAAAATTGTTGGCATGCAATGTCTTAAACTTGATTACTAAAAAAAGTTATTTTAAACAGCTAACTGCTTTGGGTGCTTTGAATGACTCGTGTATAGTGTATGTATCTAAGTGACTCGTACAACACGGATTCATATAATGTAGAATGTATGTACTGTGTCAAAGGGGGAGGAAGATTCTTTTCATTTCATCGCGTAATAAATTCCAATGTCTTGTCAGAAAACTACTAATGGTAAATATATAAAAAATAATACAATAAGGCAATTGCAATTTATATAAAAAATAATACAATATTTATTTGCAAGTTATCACTGTTTCTTGGCATTAATTTCACGGTTGTGGTTGTATTCAAGTATCCAAGTTTCAGATTTTTAAAATGACAGATATTTTTTTAGCTAAAAATTAAAGGGTTCATGATTTATTAACTTCTAATATATATACAGTCAAAAGTCGTTAATTTGGACACCCATAATCTGGACCTCAAAGCTACAAACTTTCTGCGCATGCGTCACATTGACGCATGCACATAGGCGTTTCCGCATGTGCGTAAGACCTTTACGGCTGCGAATATGCGTGTGCGCATGCGCATAATACGTTTATGCATGCGCGTTTAATGCATAACGGACGGTATAAGCTAAGCTAAAATTATCTAATTCAGTTAATGTTGCAGATTGCGTTGTTCCTTGATCTTCGAATTGGATCTGGCTTATTATTTTTTTCAGACTGTTAGAGCAATTTTATAACAGTAAGCTTGAACTTTCGATTATGTCAAATAGAATTTCTGATATATATTTACTAATATGTAAAGGATCTACAAAGCGAAAATATGTTTTGAAGTCCATTAAACAAAAAGTGGAATTGCTGCAAAAAATGGATAAAGGCATAATCCTTTGTTTATCTAACCATTCCGAAATCTGTTTATCAATTTTCAAGCTGCTCTACGGCGGGAAGGGGGCGGCGCGCAATGAATTGGAAGTTGATCTGTCAGCACTATCCTTATCTTCAGGGCAGATGTTTTTATTTTATTTGGATTATAATTCCTTACTAAATGTAGTATTTCATCTCGATGTACTCTGTCTTTGATAGGATTTAAATCAAATTCCTCGTCGTTATAATTTGCTTCTGATAGTGAAGAAAGTGACATAGAGGTTATTGAAAACGAAAAAATTTCTATTGACAAATTAGTCGGTATTCTCAACACAGCAATTATAGGACTTGAACAGCAGAACTTTGTAACTGAATAAGAAATTATGTCTGTTTATAGAATTAAAGAGAAAATATTATCACATAAAACGAAGCAACTTAAACAACTTACATTGAAGGAAATGTTTAATAAAGTAAACAAATAAATATTAAGCCTTTTTTTTAGAAATTTTGATACCCTTTAGATCATAATTGTTCTTTATTTCATAAATTATGGTTTCATATTTTTAATTTTATAATTTCTGCATGCCATCTTACCAGATTTAAATTGATGATCTATAATCCGGAAATATCGATAATCCGGAATCGCCGAAGTCCTGACGTGTCCGGATTAACGACTTTTGACTGTATATGTAGCTGAATATTTATTTATGATGCACAGTACACAATACGCGATGTACTTCCTAACTGGCATACAAGAAATTTTTTCCCATCAGTCAAATTCACTGCAGTTATGTAACCAATCATGTGATAATAGAGGTTCCATAGCATTCAACTACCATTAACGAAACAACCACTTCGGGATAATCCAAGGGACACCCTTAAATATACTTTAACCGAAGGTATGTGCTAGTAAGGTCCATTGCTAAATGAAAGTGTTACCTGAGGTCATCTTAATACGTGAATAATTAGGATAAGTAAAACAGATGAGAAAATAAGAAAATTTATCGTTTTTTTTTATTTATTTGTTTTATTTTTTAAAATTTTTAATGTGTGCTTTTAAATACTCTTTTACGTTGTAAGATTCAAAAGTTCTCGGACTGAGTCTGTACTGTAAAAATTTTTTGCAATAGTGCGACTATGAGAACATTTTTGTGTTACTATGTTCCCCCTTTCTCTAAAAGTGCTTTGTTCCAAATCACATAGTCGAAAGCTCGCGGCAACAGTGTTTTTTGTAGGCAGGTGCATTTAGTAACTGGCAATAGAAAGAAATGGTGTCAGTTGAGCAGAGAATCAATAGCAAATTTTGTCTTTGCTTGGGAAAGAGTGCTGTGGAGACTTTCGAAAGCTTAAAGTATGTGTTTGGAAGTGAAACGTTATCGAGAACGCAAGCTCTTGAGTGGCATCATCGTTTCAGAGAAGGCAGGGAAAGTGCCGAAAATGACAAACGCTGTGGCCGTCCTGTGACTTTGTGCACTGATGAAAATATCAAAAAGGTGTCTGCGGAGGCAGCAAAAAATTTGCCAAATAACAAAATCAGTAGGGATATCAGAGGCCACATGTCAGCAGATACTGACTAAGGATCTTAACATGCATAGGATGTGTCAATACATCGTTCCCTGCATTTTAAATATAGATCAAATGGGAATTCAAATGGAAATGGTGGGAGACTTAATCTCGGCTGTTGACAAAAATCCTTCCCTACTTGGCAGAATTGTTTGAGACGAGAAATGGTGTTTTTTGTACTACCTGCAAACCAAGAGAGCATCAGCAACGTGCAAATCACCACAATCTTCACGGAAGCAGAAATTCCGCCAAGATCGCTCTAAAGGAAAGGTCATGTTAGAGGTACTCTTCGATATCCAGGGCATTGTGCATCTAGAATTTATCCCTGAACTATGCACTGTGAACAAAGAACTTTACATCAAAATCCTGTGTCATTTGCATGAATCGATTCGGGGGAAGAGACCAAAAATGTGGGCTGAGCAGTCATGGGTGCTGTTGCATGATAACGCTTCTGCTCACTGATCCGTAGTCTTCAATGACTTTCTTGTGAAAATGTAAACAACTGTTTTGACTCATCCTTCGTACTCACCTGATCTTACAACCTGCAATTTCTTCCTATTTCCTGAATTGGCAAGACACTTGCAAGGTCATCGATTTCAATATTCAGATGAAGTTAAATGTGCATCGCAGGCTGAATTAAAGAACATGGCCAAAAATGGATTCCAGATATGCTTCATTGAACTTTACAGGCACTGGCAAAAGTGTGTTATTGAACAAGGGTCTTATTTTGAAGGAGGATATGTTTCTGCAATTTAATTCATAATATTTTTTGTGTTATAGATTCGGTCTGGGAACTTTTGAATCCTACCTTATATTACACTATTTATTTATTGCTAATAGTGCTTTGCCATAATTAAATAAAACAAAATCGAATTTACTGCTATTATCAATTTTAATAAAACATTCATAAAAATCAAAAAAAGTTTGAGAAAGAAGTTATGTTTGTGATGAGATGATTTGTGATATTATCATTTTAATGATAATATTTGGAATTGTTATTCAACTTTTTTTTTTTTTTTTTTTTTTTTTTTTTTTTTTTTTTTTTGTGGTTAGTAATGTGTGAAATTCTACTATAAAAATTCTTTCATTTTTTTTAGAATGCCTCTGATAATAAATGGCATACTTCTGGAAGAGCTACCACCTGATACTAGAACGCTCTTTGAGACTTATCCACATTTAAAGGTTTGTATGATAAAATCTGAGTTTTTCTTATTGTTGATCAAACATTTGTTTAGCTTAAATGACTGAATTAAAATTTTTTCAGGATGTTGCTGCTGCACTTATAGCTCAAGTTCCTAAAGTAATTGGTCCTGTTGGCCTTTTATATGTGCATCAAAGGGAATATGCAGTTACTTCACCTCATGATAGTATGTTTCTCTTTCTCTCTTTTTTAACGTAAATTTGAATGATTTTGAATTTAAACAAATGCTATTATATATTTTATTATTTATTTATTTTATTTACAGAACACATCAGTGTTGTAGGTACAGATGACGCAACAACTTGCAGCATGGTTGTCTTGCGGCATACTGGTTTGTAAATTAGATTTTTTAAAGACCTTTTTTTAAATTCATTTTTTAAAATATGCATAAAATATGTGAGCATTTATGAAAAAAAAAAGATTGCATAATGATTTATTGTAAATGAAAAAAGGGAAACGAAATTAAGAAATAGGTATTAATTGTATAGTGTTAAAAATTGCAGTGTTCAAAGTTCATACATTTTAGATTCATATACAAGTTTGCAAACAGTGTGAAAATACTGTTCATCCTTCATTTACTTGGGCTTTATTATATTACTGTACCAGAATCCTATACTTGTCTGAATATCAAACCATAATTGCTATGGTAAAATACTGCATGGTTATTTTTTCTTTGAGGGAATTAGTTTCATTAACATTAGCAATAAATCCTGAACTTATTGTAATTGAATACATATTGCTTATTTATTCAATTATTTAGTGCATTATTGCATAATTCCTTTTACAGTCCACATTTGTGTGATCAAATAATATGTCTAGTACTAGCAAAATTTTTTGTTTGTTATTTCCTTAGTCCATAAGCAAATAAATCATGGTCTGGTAACCAAAGGGATCTGTCCTCCTATAAATCATTTTTCTATCCCTCAAAGAGTTCAGTTTGTTGCATACACACTGTACCATTGCATTAACAAAATAATGTAAAATACTAAAATATGGAAGAATTATTTTCTCGGAAAAAACTTTAGCTTCTTTTCTTACCGTGGTAAATTTCAGGTTTTCATAATTATTTTGAAATTAACAAATATAGAATTGAAAACTAAAATGTAATTAAATGTCTCTTCTTTCAGTAGTGCTAAAAATATTTTTTTATTTGTATCTTATTCAAATACAAGAGCATTGGTAAACAACAAAAGGACAATAACATGCTGATAATATCTATCTTTATGTTGCAACCATGTCTTTAACCCAGATCTGAATTAGCCATTAAATAAAGTAAGCACATGCTTAGGGCATCAAGGAAAAGGTGTACCACAGAAAGGTGCTTAAAGCCTAAAAGAAAGCAGCCATCATAAAAATTTCCCATTCCCTGTTTTACTATGGAATGTGTAATGCATCTAAACTAAAACCGAGAGAGAAGAAATGTGAAAAAAATAGGCGCTAATGTATGTACGAGCACCAAAACCTCTTAGGTACTTACAGCCTCTAAAAGTCTTAATCTGGCTCTGTTTTAACTATTGGTATACTGTTAAGCTTAAAATGGGCCTTCTATCTTGTATTAGCTTCCATGTGTGATCTTTTAACTTTTTTTTTGGTAGATTTCTGAGATTTTTACAATTACGTAAGCTTACTAGTGACCCTGTGGCAAAACTATTGAATACTGCTACAGTCAAAAGTCGTTAATCCGGACTCATCGGGACTTTGGCGTTTCCGGATTATCGATTTTTCCAGATTATAGATCATCAGTTTAAATCTGGTAAAATGGCATGCAGAAATTATAAAATTAAAAATATGAAACCATAATTTATGAAATAAAGAACAATTATCTAAAGGGTATCAAAATTTACAAAAAAAAAAAAAAGCTTACTATTTATTTGTTTACTTTATTAAACATTTCTTTCAATGTAAGTTGTTTAAGTTGCTTCGTTTTATGTGATAATAATTTCTCTTTAATTCTATAAACAGAAATAATTTCTTCTTCGGTTACAAAGTTCTGCTGTTCAAGTCCTATAATTGCTGTGTTGAGAATACCGACTAATTTGTCAATAGAAATTTTTTCGTTTTCAATAACCTCTGTGTCACTTTCTTCACTATCGGAAGCACATTATAATAACGAGGAATTTAATTTAAATCATATCAAAGACGGAGTACATCGAAATGAAATACTACATTTAGTAAGGAATTATAAGCCAAATAAAATAAAAACATCTGCCCTGAAGATAAGGATAGTGCTGACAGATAAACTTCTGATTCATTGCGCGCAGCGGCGTTTCCCCCCCTGCCGCAGAGCAGCGTGAAATTGATAAACAGATTTTGAATGGTTAGAGAAACAAAGGGCCTTTATCCATTTTTTGCAGCAATACCACTTTTTGTTTAATGGACTTCGAAACATACTTTCGCTTTGTAGATCCTTTACATATTAGTAAATATATATCGGAAATTCTATTTGACATAATCGAAAGTTCAAGCTTACTTTTATAAAATTGCTCTAACAGTCTGCAAAAAATAATAAGCCGGATCCAATTCGAAGATTAAAGAACAACACAATCTGCAACATTAACTGAGTTAGATAATTTTAGCTTAGCTTATACCATCCGTTATACATTAAACGCGCATGCGTAAACGTATTATGCGCATGTGCACATGCATATTTGCAGCCGTAAAGATCTTGCGCGCATTCGTAAACGCCTATGCGACGCATGCACGGAAAGTTTGTAGCTTTGAGGTCCGGATTATAGATCATTCCGGATTATGGGTGTCCGAATTAACGACTTTTGGGTGTAGTTCAGTCTGGGTTGATTTAGTGGCAAACAGGTTGGTCGTACAGGGGTTTTAATGGATTATACTTCCTTGTATGAAGTATAAAAAGTGAACAATTTTGAATTTTATTTTAATGAAAATATCCATTTTGATTGCTCTCGAATCCCTTTGAACGATGTTTTTCCGTGACATCTGTATTTACGAACAGAATAAAAGCCTTTTTTTTTTGTTTGTTTGTTCTAAAACAAATTAAAAAATGGATTCAGAAGAGATTTTCACTGACATATATCTTGCATAATCAAAAAAGAGTAGCCATAGAACGTTGAAAATTTTTTTTATGAGACTGCTGTAACATGTAGTTGTGTCTATCCCTTTTTTGTTGTAATCGACAACACCAAATATATATAAATATTTCTGTATAACCACACTGTTATTCGGCTCAGTGAGCTCAGTATTTTATTTGTATATTTTGGTAAATTATGCATTTTTTGCTTTAAGAGTGATTGAATTACGTTGTTCTTATGTTCTTAAGTTTTATACCTTTAGTTAATTTATATACAATATTTGTAGGATTATCAACAACTTAAAAGTAGTAGTAAGCCAAATGAGGCCATCATTTGTGTATATTTGAATCTCTTAGTAGAGTAATAAATTAAGTCGGTGCACCAGCTTTGGTGTCTTTTTTCCAGAGTGACCTGAAGTTAACTTTCAGTTTTGGGCACCAAAATTTTGTCTTCCTGCCTGCTGGCTGAATTTGCATAGAAACCCCAATTTTACTAGCATAAACGTGTTTTTTGGTGTTTTAAGTTTTTCTGTATTTTTACAGTTTTTTTTAATATCAAGTTTTATGTATTTTTACCTTATTGCAAAGGGAGATCTGAGTTGATTGAATAAGAAATATATTTTTAATGAAATTCAAGGAAGTGAATTTTACATGAAGCAGTGCGAGAACATCATGTGATGTCCACTTCAGATTTTTTTTTTTTCTGTATGTAATATGAATACAAAGTAAAACTCTGACTACTTTGCCATAATAATAATGAACCCAAATTGTAAAATAAAAGCAATCAGCTTTGTGTAAGTTATTGAGTATTGCCGAAATGTCAAGAATGGTCCCATTTCCACATAATTTAGTTCCTCTTCCCATACAATTCAATTAAACAGCTGCCAGCGCTTCCAGTTTTTTGGTTACATCATCTGAATCTTAGTTTTTTAATTTTTAGCCTTTTCTAAAAGTAAATGAAGCTTCAATTGGTCTAATTCCATTCCTTCACCCCTACTAACTTTCAGCATTATTTTCACGTTACATTTTATTTGATCTATGTTGGCTTAATGAATTGTAGATATTTGTAGAACTTCATTTGAAAATGCAGGTAATATCTAATCCCTTGAGTGGGATGACTGCCTTTATCTGGTAGTGAGTTTTTTTTTTTTTTTCGTCATTTGGTAAATATTACTCTTTATTTAAAATATTTTGTCTTATTTCCTTTGATGGTCTAAATATATTTTGATGAATAAAAGTTTGTGAAGACAGAGATTAAAATAGTTAATTATGCAAATTTAGCATGCAATTTAAGTTTCATTTTCCAATTTCAGTACCTGCAGCTTATTAAACTTACCGGTTAATAAACTCAACCACATATTACATTCAGATTTCTAGGAATTCAAAACAAATGCATACTAATCATTAGAAAAACCGGTGTTTATTAAACTCATCTCTGCCACTTATAAAACTCAGATTAGCAAAAGACTGATTCTTCACTGCCAAAATATCCAACTTCATACCTGTTAATTAAGGAATAATTTTCACCACACATAGTGGATTGTACACAATTTATTTTCACTTTAGCACTAAAGAGAAGAAAACACATGTCACACCGGTTTAGCTTATTGTTCACACTGACTTCAAACTCTAACTAGGTGGTGCTGCTGTTATGAAAACATTATGTTTTAGTTCTGGTTTCATCAACAGATGGTGCCAGTAGCTTGTCTCCTGTCCAGGCTTTCTTATCTTATCTAATCATTATATCTTATCTCGTTCATTTGCGCTTTTGCAGCTGAGGATGATGATTTCGTAAAACCATCGAAACTAGTCCTGTGAAAATTTGAAAATATAACGCTGATTTTTGTTGTTTGACTTCTAAATTAATCTTTTTAAATATTTTAATGACTTAATAGCAGCCTCCCAAAGGCCCCTGAAATTAGAGCATCTTTGGGGAATAAATTTCCAGTTGATGTCCTCTGTTGCTAAATATCAAACTAATTGGTTATCTGGCTTTCTTATTAATCATGAAGATTTTTAATTTCTCTATTGGCTTCGATAAAATTCTTGACATTATCTGAAAAAAGTTTAACGCTTTTACCTCTTCTAGCCATAAACCTTTTTAACGTAGCTATGAATGCTTCAGGTAAATCGGACACAATTTCTACATGCACAGCTTTAAATACAAAATACACAAATGTACAATCATAATTTCTGTAAAGCTCATTTACGGAATGTGAACAAATGTAATCATGAACAAAATCTTTAAATTTCCCTAAACACCTGGGAACTTTTAAGGGCATTTTTACTATATAATTTCTCATTTCATCTCTTTTTGACATATTCCTCAAAGTGTTTTTTGAAAATTATTATTTTGTTATTTCTTGGTACTTCAATCTGCACATTTTCAATTTCCCAAAATTTCTCTAAAGTTTTGTTTAGACCAGCATTATCTTCAACAAAACCGCAATTTACCCTTCCCTGATTTTCAGTGGGAACACTTCCTTTAGCTATGGATGCAAAAACTATTTTGAAAAATCAAATTACTATTATTAAATAAATAATAAATCAAATTACTGGCATAATACAATTTTCATCTGCAAGTTTTATGTAATTTATCTCTGGAACATTAACCTTTAACACTTCAGATAGCATAAAAGCTGTAATTTTAGATACTATTAAAAAAGCTGACCCTTTTTCAAAATCTCCCTCAAAATTAGAAATTGTTGCATTAGCAAAAAACTTAATTGTTGTGGATGTACCTCTGATATCACGAACTGTTAAATTGGCTTTCTTTTAAAATTAATGCAGTTTGCACAATCAGAGATTATGTAATTATTCATTGCACCTTGATCTAATATAAAGCTTAGCTATATTTATTTCCTCCTTCATTCTTTAATAAACAATTTACAGTACTAAGCAAAATAGTTTTTTTCTCATTCATTACCCTCAATGAAAGAATGGACTTGATTTGACTACTTGGGCCAAAGTTGAAAAATTAGCTTTAAACACTGGCACCAACAGTGAAAGAGAAGATTAATTTATTCTTGGGGAGAGGGGATGAGACTCTCGATCACCAGGCGTTATTTATTACATTTTCATTTTGTAATGTATTTGAATTTCTGAGGTAGTATAAAGAAAAATGATGACTGCTGTTTTTCCCAGGCCATTTGCATAAAGAGCAAGAAAATTGTGATTTACGGTTATTAAGCAGATGTTTTTGCAAAAAATTAAAACAATGATTATTTTTCTTAATTACTTCAACTCTTTCAGAAACAGGCAATGATATATTCTCCCCCCCCCATTTATGTAAAGGATGATTTTCGGAACATAAAATACACTTTAAACGCTTACTATCTGCTAGAAATCTTCTAGATGCATTTTTCATATTAGAGAATTTATGATTATATACATCAATTGAGGATTTTCCCTGCTATGCAAAAAATAAATCTGCTTCTTTACCCAAGATAATGTGATCGAACCAGCTACTAGATTATCTAACACTAATATGAGATGATGTTTCCTTGTCTAACGTTTGAAATAATTTGACACAATTAATTGTGTTAACTTTTCAAAATCTGATACTTGTCTTAATTTTAAATAATAATCAAAGCTCATTGTCAATCGTGATGCAAATTGAACATGAGTTTCATTTGCTTGTCTAGTTGTTTTTCTGAATTGCTCCAAACATAACTAAGGGGTTGGTTCAAATTCCCTAAATACTGTTTTCTTTACTTTATTATAATCACAGAACTCATCATCACTTATATAAGAAATTATGTTTGAAGCTTTTTCACCTAGTAAATTTAAGAGAATTTCTGCTCAATATTTATCAGGTATGTTTTATGTTACAAAGGATCTTTCTAAAGAAGCAAAAAATACAACCCCACCCTTCTGGGTGACTTCGGAATTCGCTTCATTAAGGTTTTTATACTTTTTATTAGCGAATATAGAGAATTGTATTTTTCAAGTTTATTTTCTAATTCTTCATTAGAATTTTAAACTGTTTGCATGCATGACAATTCTAATTCAGCTTTTGCTCTCTCTAATTGCAATTCTAATTGTTTATTTTTCTCGAATGTCTCTAATTCTATTTTCCGGTTCTCGATTTATACCCTCTATGAGATTAGAAATGCATTCAGGAGCTTCTTTAAATTTATTACTACTCTTTATAATATTAATGAGATCTGTAATCATCATTTTGTCTATTATTATCCAGCAAGCTGCAAATAAATTTTTCCAGTGTTTTTAAACATGTTAAAAACAGAACAAAATTACAAAACATTACACAATTAAGACTTAGCATAAATTAAGACTTACTTAATAAAAATAATGACGAATATTATTTTATGGGAGTAAATGGTCAGAAAAAACTTATGTACCTACTACTTCATTACGCTGATTATTAATCCAATACATTTCTTGTTTTTGAAGTCACCACATTGAGCAAAAACAAAAATGGAAGTTTATTTGAATAAATCCCAGATATGCATACATTGCCGAGTCACTGTTCCTGGTCGCATGGACCACAAATGTTAATTAATTAAGGATTAATTTTCACCACACTTAGTGGACTGTACACAATTTATTTTCACTTTAGCACTAAAGAGAAGAAAACACATGTCACACCGGCAGCATAGCTCATTGTTCACACTGACTTCAAACTCTAACTAGGTGGTGCTGCTGTTACGCAATAACAGACAATACCAAGCTTTTCGTAGTTCACCCAAAGTGTCTGCTTCTGTAGTTTATTCAACATTAGTGTATCTTCTTGCAAATACAGCTTCTAACATTCAACCTTTAGACCAGGGCATTATTAAAGCTTTCAAATGTAACTGCAGAAACTAATGAACAGAATTTTGTGAAAATGCAAGCACTTCGAAGTAGATAAGTAAGTCGACATCTCTGATAGAAGCCATGCATATTACAGTCATTGCAGAGGATAAATCTTTTAAAATTTGCATAGGCTGTTTTTTTAAAATGTTTTAAGTATCAGAAGCTTCAAAGGAATTGCAAACTATAGCTAATGTTTCAGACATTAGTTGAGATAAGTTATAAAGACTCATTTCTAGATTATGTGTCAGTTTACAACAGTATTGTGAGAACTAGAGTAAAAACTGATTATGAAAGTATTAAAACAACTGCAGAAACTGACAGCAAAAGTAGTACAGAAAAATAATGAAGATGTATCAGCGTCAAACGAATCTAGAAAAACACAGCATAATCTAAAAAGAACTCTTGAACTGAAAAGTGTTGATCAGAAAGCTATCAACATTTTTTCAAAATTGAGAATACAGTTGAAAAACTGTTATTGAGTGACATGAAATAAACTGGAGTAGAATAGTTGTTTGTGAGGGATGTAAGTGCATCAAGATTGTAATTATAAAAATATTTTATAAACAAAATTAAACAATGAATTTTAAAATTGCATTAAGAGTTCAATTTTAGCTTTAATTGTTAATTTCTGTTTTAGAATTGATTATTGGATTAGTTACTTTACTTAAAAAGTTTAAACCTGATATAACGATTTGCAGTATTCAAATCACCATACATTAAACTCGGCTGCTTAAAAAACTCAAGTATGTGTGGAGTGGAAGTGATTTTAATAAGCAGCAGGTACTGCAAATGCTGTTTAAATGTAGCTCTTCATAAGCATTTCTAAAAGGTTGTGCCACTAATAGGTTTAATTAGTTAACACTCAATTTAATTTCATTTTGCAAAATGAGATTAACCTATGAATATAAATTTAAATATTATATCTGAATTATATGGTAAAGACTGAATAATTTTAATCATGTAAAGTAAATTTAAGCCAATTTTTTTTATTTTTTTTTTAAATGGTATCGCTGTGTAGGGCCCAAATCCAAAAGCTTTTCGTGTTAATTAAGAATCTCCTGTAAATTAAGAATCTCCTGGTTTTTCATATTTGAAGTTCGTATTTTCATAGGTTGATAGCTATGCATTACTAAAGACAACATAGTGAAAGTGCAACATTGAAAAGTGCAGATTGATTGTACAGAATGTAAAATTCTAGCTAGTGTCATGTTATTTGCACTGTATTTATTTTCAGTCAGTATACTGACATAGATATGTCTGCAGCAATTAAAGTAACCAGATCCCATATCACCAATAAATTTTTATTAGAGACTGCCTAAGCTTCTGATTTCAAATAACTGTCAAGCACCAACATGTGTATGTTTGAAGTGAATAATGCATTATTATTATTATTTAAGTAAGCAAAGTTTAATTATATTATAGTCTTTAATATTTAGTAGCATTGCTATATTTGGGTATAAGAAATTATTTGGATGTAATAGAAAATTGTCTGAATGGCTTCAGTTTATTATTTTGAAAACTGACCAACTTATCTGTGTAAATTTATATTTATGTATAAATGCTGAAGCTTGTTCATTTCTTTTGATTTTGAGCTTAAAAGTCACGAAATTGCATGTTTATTGTATTTCAGGCTCTGGAATATCTTGTTTGGGCCATTTTGATGGTTCAGGGTTGGAACAGGGTGTTATGAATATGGTAAGACATGTGCAAGATCTTTCCATGAATGTTCCTGAGGGAAGGTAGGTAACTAAAATCTTGTTTATATACATGTTCTGAAAATTCTGAAGTAGCATTTATGTTGACAATTGTTAGTTGCCGACATACACTTCCAGTTACAGAAATGTTTTAAATGACTCAAAATATTCATATTTTGTAATTTTTAAATTAAGAAAATTATAAAAATCTACCTCTTTGTACAGTTTTCCAAACCCTATATTTAGTAGAAGTTTATATTTATTCTAAAGCACCAAAGTTTGCTTCTGGTATTAAAAAAATGACTGAGATGTTTAATTTTAAAATTTGGGATTTGTATGGAATTTATAGTGCTAGAAAATCAAGCTTATGTTAAAAAAAATTAAGATAATAAGAGGTTTATTTTTGTCACCTGTTTAATACCATTCAGTGGTATCCTTTTGTGGTTGACTAGTATGTAATGTTCTTTAATTTATAATTTTGTTACATTTGGTAAACTGAAAGTATATTCATACTAATAATTTAAAAGTTTTCAAGGGCAGTTTGAAAAGTCAGGATAAGACAGCCTTTCAACATCTGTGGTGAGCTGCTAAGTGTTTTCATGGGCTTCTGTTGGTAAGATTTTAATTGGAGCTTGTTCTAGTCTTTTAAACACTTCTCACCAGTGCGCTGAGCAGAAGTTCGGAATCTAGTCTGTGGCTTTTGTGAAGAGTTTGAAGTGTATCCGCTTCGTGTAGACTTGCCAAGACATCTTTTCATCATATGTAGATAACTTGAGAGAGGGTCAGAATGACATATGTTCACATTTAAAGGCATTAGAATTGTGACCAGCTGTCATTATGGATTTCTTTAACTGTGAACTCCCTTGGCGACAGCAGCAGAAATTTTGTCATCAATTTGTTGTTGGATAGCAGAAATTCTTTCTTCGATTTGTTATTTGATAGCAGAACACTTTCTTGAATTTCTCTTATCTTCAGTTGCGTCTGTTCTACCATTTGTAGCTTGATTTTTTTTTTTTTTTTTTGTGATGGCATATGTGTTTTTGTTTCCTCTGGACTTGTTTCATTTTTTTCTTGGTGCTCTGTCATCTATTCTGCAACATATTGTTGGTCTGCTTTATTCTGTTCTTTAACAAAGTTGAATGTCCCTTCCATCTTTTCGTGGAATACAGCAGGTGACCAATCTCTGAATTCAGCTCTTCCGTCGCTTTTGTCACCAGCATTCAGCCCTACTTCTGATACCAAAAATTGTTGCACGTATACTTGTTTGTAATAGATTGAATGCACACAGAATTGATGATAGCTTGATAAAATTTATTTTATCAAAAGTAACACTTCACAGTTCTGGAACTTTCCACAAAAATACTTGTTAACTACTGATTGCACTCAGTGATACAGCTGTTTGCAGTATCACGAGTGCAATCAGTTGTTAACACTTTGAACTATTATGAACATTAAACACAATGCAGTAAAGAGTGAAGCTAACATAGAGATATCCCAATACTCTGAATTCAGCTCTGAACTAATAACTCCTGAGAAACTTGATACTCTCCTCGTTCTTATATAGTGTTTCCCCGACTGCCAAGAAATATCTTGTATCTTCCACTTCCACGAAATTTCCGTTATACTACGTAATTCAAATCAACAGATTTTCATCAGTCTTCGTGATTTTTTTTTTCAGGTCCAGCAATTTTACCTGTTGAGTGTTTGATAAAAACAAGCAGTAGACATCTCTGATATAGCTATTGCAATCAATCACTATATTTTCTCTCATACTTAACTGTTACACCATTTTATGGAAGTTAGTTCTTCAGTTCAACAGTTTCTGAAGGAAGGAAAGGAAGAAAAGGAATCCTGTAACCATGAAACAATTTAACCAGTTATTGGCATACAGATCTTTTTTATCCTTGTAATTTTCATGTTGCATCTCCAGAAACTTTCCTTTTAAATGAGTAATTTAATTTGGTGGTCATTTTTGTAATTTCGTTCAATGCAGAATTTGGTGCTTTTGAGGAAAGGAACCACTGTAGTTTATAGTAAGCTAAATATAGTTAACAATTTAGGGAGAAAACATGATGAAGGGTGCAAAAGAATAAACGATATCACGAGGAAGCTACTATTATATTCATTTGATATAATATTTAAATTGGTTAGCATTTAATAGAGGGGGGAAAAGAATGACATCATGTAGTGTAAAGTGAGTATGAAAATTAAATACATTATGTGTTCTCAAAAAATATCACTGCAATGTAACTGCAAATTGATTATGAACTAAAAATGATAAATATTTTACATTAGAAAATGTTGCATCAGTCATAACAGGTGGATAACTTCATAATAAAAAAATGTGAAAATTAAATACATCTTCTGTTAAAAGTCTGGCAAGTAATCTTCCATTTTTTTTTTGGGTGCTGACCAAGGTGTTGCTTTTAATAAAAAAAAGAGTCAGTCATTATTTTATAGCTAACCAAACTGTAACTAAAATTATAGTATTTAATTATATTGACTTTCTTCTTTTGTTTTTACCAATAGTTGGTACTATTTGTTAACCTTTTAGTAAAGTCATAGATCCATAAAATATAATTATTTCTAACTCTTTAATATAGCATAGGGTCATATCACACTGCTTAATCCTGACTGTATTCTATCAGTTTGTGTCATTCATTTTACAATATTATCAGAATTTAATAAAGATATTAGATTGCAAGTATTCTCTCATATGTCATATCTTTATTTACATTTGTAAATTATTTGCAGTAGTACTCTTTAAGACACCATGTTTTCATTTGTATTGAATTGTTTCTCATCCATACACTTTAAAGCTAAAATTTCAAATAGGTGATCCTGCATTGAAATGATCGTGATTTGAAATGAAATGTATTCATCTACTAACATTTTTGTGTAAACTGGTTCAAGGGCCCACCAGCGGCGGAGCGGTAAAGTCGCTGAACACTGGTAGTTCGGTCCGAGGTTCGAATCCCGCGAACAGGCTGGCTGCATGGGCGTTTTCATGGTTTTCCCCATGTGTAATGTGTATATGAGCCAGTTTCCCTTAGAAAGTCCTCCACAAAGGCATCCCTCCTCTTAGGCAGATAGCCCTAGTGTGCTTTGCCATAATTAAATAAACCAAACCAAAACTAAACTGGTTCAAAGAAATAAGTAGCAAATTTTGTGGTACGGATGACATTTTAGAAAATTTTCATGAGCATGATATAAAATTTGATTTATCAATAACTCTGAAAATTAAATAAACAATATAAATTTTAAATAAAGGATGGGTAGATTGATTCTCTCGGGAGCTGCTAGAGTTATCAAAATTATCAAAATTGTTGCAGTATTTTCTTATTACAGTGGCCCACGATCTTTGGCAACCTTAGAATTATGCCAAAATCCCGGTTATGATTTCTCCAAGCTTGTGAACTGCAAATGTAAAAATGAATGAAATATTATATAATAATAGCAATAATACTCATGTTTCTTCCTAAGAGTATTTTCAATAATCATTACGATTATGCCATATTTCCGAAAACGCTCTTAACAATTCATCAAAAGCCTTCTGCTTTTTACAATTTTTAACATTGTACCTCTAAATGGTTTTGTCATATACATATAGTTTTATATTGTAGCCATTTTCACATACTTGTCAGGTAAAGGATCTCTTTCTTTAAAAAATATGGTATCCAGTTCTTTATTTGGTAAATTAAAGATTGTTACTCTCATATTCACAAAAAAAAGCAAGGAATATTTTTTAAAGACCAATGCAAATTCGAAAACCTTAACAAAAATGTAACACAGTGTTAATACGAGAACACCTGGGCAAAATATCTCAGTTGCTCGGAGGCTCTTATCATAAGGAAGTACTAAATTAAATTATAATTAAAGGGTAGGTAGATTGATTCTCTTGGAAGCTGCTGAAGTTATAAACTTGTTGGCTCTCTGTAAACTGTACTCTCGTAAATGTATTGTTATTTGCTTAAGACCCATATTGATTTCATTTGCATGTTTGTTCCCTTTTTGTATATACTAAATATTATCTTAATGTTGGTTATTTTATCTGACATCATGTACTTTTTTGTTTTATAATTTTCTTTTTTGTGAAATATGCGTTCAAATATTCCAAAGTATGAGGAAGTTGTAATATTGTTTTATCAGGTTAGAACTTCACATGGTTGGAGGCTTTTTAGATCCCAGACATTATTCTGAAGAACTTGCCATACAGTTACTTTGTAAGTGTCTGGTAATTTTTTACAAATATTTGAATTAATAATCTGTTATTAATATATCATACAATTTTTGTTTGTTTTTTAGATACATTTCATAAGCAACCTTTAAGCATTCATTTAGTTACTGCATGTATTTGTGGTAAGTATTCATATTGAAAAAAAGTGAATAATACTTACCTTTCTATTCGATTTTTTTTTTAATAAAATGTTACAATTTTTGAAATCTAAGTTTTGTTTTCTTGTAAGAGCTAAATTTCTGTTTTTAGAGTATTGAATGCATGCTTCATTTAATCACTTGTAATAACATACTAATTTTAAACTCTGATAAGGTTCATATAAATCTAATTGAATTCTAAATCTAGATTATTATTGAAATGCATGAAACAATTTCTTTTATTTTTCATTAGCCTTTATGTGTGCATAAAATGCATTGCATCCTTTTTTAATTGAGATTTACGATATGTTTTTTAACCCAATTCACCCCTATTGTCCAGATGATTATATATAGAAGAGGGAGTAGTATCATGTGCAATTTTGAGTTGAGAATGGTATAAATCTATAGTATTGAAAAGTTCTCATAAGTTATTTTTTCATTTTTAAAACATTAATGTAATTACATAACAAAATATTTTGTTTTGACATTTTTCAATTAATATTGTTTAAATGATATTTCTTTCAGAACTGAATAATTCTTTAAGAGGAAATATTAATTGGCCAGTTATCTATGGAATTGGTTAGTTTTATCATTTTCAAAAATAATTTTGTTTTCTAAATTTGCTGATTGAATATTACTTTTCAATATTTTTTCCTGACATATTTATTCATGTAATTCATGCTGTAGTGTAACGTAGACTCCTGAATTTATAATATGAAATTTTTAAAAATGGGTATTCTATAAAATTTTACATATTATTATGTATAGCCTAATTCTAACAAGTAGAGTGTAGGATATAGATCTGTCCTTTGTAATAGATCCTTTCCTTCGAAGAAATTTCTAGCATATTTTTTCTGTTCAGTGGGTACTTAATTGAAAAACTGAATATGCAAAGCATTATTGGTAAAAATTACTACTATCTTTCATTGAAGTAAAGAAAAGTCATATTTTTGTACTTTTGCCATCTGGTTCACAGGAACATATTATTTCATATTATTTATTTGGCAGATTTATCTTATTTATTTATCACTAATTTGGCAGGTTTTTTTTTTTTTTTATCTCTGTCACTTCTTTAATCCTTTTGTGGGCCGTGAGAAGGTTACTTCCTACCTACATGTTCCTGGGAAATACACCTGTGGGAAGCGCAAAACCCACTATAATATATTGGCTTTGCTATTATAACGTTGGGAACTCTAATTCCCACTTCAGTATTGTGCTGCCATCTGTGTTCAATCGATTGAAAACATAATTACCACATTTATTTTGAAAGTTCGAACGCGTTGTGTGAGATAAAAGCCACGTGCAATAGGTATGTTGGAAAAATTAGAATATTTTTTTAAATACATTTGAAAATATCATTCAATTCTACTGAAAAAAAAAATAAATATTTTTTTGAATGATTTTTACCGAGGGAATTTTACAGAATATTGAATAATATTGAATATATAATTTTACAGAATATATAATATTGTTGACAAAACATTGAAACTCATATGCAAAGCAGCCTAAGAAAAGGAAGAGATTGGGTCATACCACAAAAGACATTATCCTGAACTGGAAAGAAATCACATCAGAAAAATTGAAAGCATGGGTAGGTATGCATATACTCATGGGTAATACATCAATTGCCTGAACTGAAAAACTACTGCTGGAGCACAGACCGTATTCAGAGCAACATAAAAGTGGAGCACAATGTTCATTCAATCAGTAGCAAGAATAATAATCGCAAAGAGGTTCAAAAAATAATTGAGACTTTACATGTAAACGATAACAGCACAAATCCATGTGGGCAATTTCGGCGTATGATAAACTCCATAAAGTCAGGACCAATCCTCTCACAGCTCGAATGATTCCATACCTAAAGTCTACGAACCTTCGTCAATACCTTATGAATAGATGAATGTATGAATGATAGCTTTCAAAGGGAGAACTTCATTGAAGCAGTATATGCCAATGAAGCCTATAAAAAGAGGTTACAAGGTGTGGTGTTTAGCATACTCTAAGACTGGATATATTCAAAAATTTGAAATTTATTGTGGAAAAGAAACTTCTGATAATAAGGAGAAAATATTGAGCTTAGGGGAAACAATAATAACTAAACTAATGGAAGATGTGAAACAGACAGGTCATCTTATAGCCTATGATAAATCTATTTGACATCTTTTAGGCTTGCAAAAAAGTCTATTTTCTGTGGGGACTGTGAGGCCGCAAAGGAAGGCTAATAACAAACTACAAAGAGGGGAATCAGTGTTCCTAACTAAGGAAGGTGTTGTTGCAATAAAGTGGATGGACAAAAAAGGCTGTTACGTTGTTGACTACTGCACATAATTCAGCAATTATTACATCTGTAAATCGTACAAAAAAGGATGGTACTAAAACAGAAGCCCTAACAGCTGTTGCCGTATAGCTGTTGCCCTAAAGCTGTTGCCATATATAACGATATCATGGTAGGTGTTGATTGCTTCGATCAAAGAAAAGAAAGGTACCTAATACGAAGAAGATCTGTAGAATGGTGGCATCGTATTTTTTATTTTCTTATTGATCTTGGCATTGTAAATAGTTTTATACTGTGGCAAGGAAACAAGAGAAACGGAAGTTTAGACCAGCTAACATTCTGTATAGCATTAGCTCGTCAACTAATAGACGGATATTCCTCGAAAAAAGAAAGGCCGTTCTGCTAGCTTCCAAGCAAAAAGGTGTTCAGTTCCGGATGATGTACACTTAGTCAGTGTGGGAAATCATATGCCAAAGATGGTTTCCAACTATAAACGATGTAAGAAATGTAGCACAAAGGCACAAGAAAAGAGGACCCGCTATATGTGTGCAGTATCTGAAGTACACTTGTGCATTGCAACATGTTTCTCATCTTTTCACGGCAAATAATCGCCTTTAAATTGAATTTTCTCTATGACCATAAAAGGTCCCGTGGGAAGTATACTTCCCACCCCTAGAATTTAAATGTAAACAAAAAATTTGGCAAAATAAAATATATTTCCTTAAATGCTATTGTTTAATTGATAATAAAACATAAAAAAAGGCAGAAATTCAAAAGGGAAATAAATGGCCCACGAAAGGGTTAATACTAGAACTATGAATAATAAATGAATGTAATTTCTATTAAGGGGGTATATTCATTTTGATATGTCAAATGTCATTTTGATACTTACAAGATATCAATCAACATAGCACTTTAATTTTGATCTCAGATTTGATGCTCATGAAATAGTTGCTAGGTTATTTCAACAGTACCTCCTCAGTAAAAAAATTAAGACGTATTTTCATTATCTCATAGAGAAACTATGATAAAATTAAGGTAATGAATTTTTATTAACCTCTTAGCAGTTTAAAATTTTTCTCTAACAGTTTTCTCTGACAAGTTACTTTTTATTTCTTAAAAATAGAAATAATTTTTAGATAGTTAATTTTAAAATGGTGCTACAGTCAAAAGTCGTTAATTCAGACACCCATAATTCCGAATGATCTATAATCCGGACCTCAAAACTAAAAACTTTCTGCGCATGCGCCGCGTTGACACATGCGCATAGGCGTTTACGCGTGCGCGTAAGACCTTTTACAACTGCGCATATGAGTGTGTGCAAGTGCAGGATACGTTTTCGCGTGCGCGTTTTATGTATAATGGACGTATAAGCTAAAATTATCTAATTATCTATTTCAGTTAATGTTGATGATTGCGTTGTTCCTTAATTTTCGAATTGGATCCGGCTTATTATTTTTTGCAGACTGTAAGAGCAATTTTATAAAAGTAAGCTTAAACTTTCGATTATATCAAATAGAATAGAATTTCCGATATATATTTGTTAATATGTAAAGGATCTAAAGCGAAAGTATGTTTTGAAATCCGAAATCTGTTTATCAATTTCACGCTGCTCGGGGGGAACGCCGCGCGGCGGGCGCGTAATGAATTGGAAGTTGATCTGTCAGCACTATCCTTATCTTCAGCGCAGATGTTTTTATTTTATTTGGCTTATAATTCCTTACCAAAAGTAGTATTTCATCTCGATATGCTCCGTCTTTGATATGATTTAAAACAAGTTCCTCATCATTATAATTTGCTTCCGATAGCAAAGAAAGTAACAGAGGTTATTGAAAACGAAAAAATTTCGATTGACAAATTAGTCGGTGTTCTCGACACAGCAGTTATAGGACTTGAACAGCAGAACTTTATAACTGAACAAGAAATTATGTCTGTTTAATAGAATTAAAGAGAAAGTATTATCACATGAAACGAAGCAAAACTTAAACAACTTACATTGAAAAAAATGTTTAGTAAAGTAAACAAATAAATATTAAGCTTTTTCTTTTTGCAAATTTTGATACCCTTTAGATCATAATTGTTCTTTATTTCATAAATTACGGTTTCATATTTTTAATTTTAGAATTTCTGCATGCCATCTTACGACATTTAAACTCATGATCTATAATCCGGAAAAATCGATAATCCGGAATTGCCGAAGTTCCGACGAGTCCGGATTAACGACTTTTGACTGTATTTCTCAAGTTAAAACTTTTGCAATGTTCCTTAAATTGTTTGTAACAGATACCATCTAAGCATATTTTTTACTCATGTGTTATGCTAATTTTTTTGATTCTTTCACTTTTAGGCCTAAATACTAAAAGTGGTGAAATATTCCCAGCTACATTCCCAGATAAAGGTCCAGATTTTCCTTTGCGCTCAGCAAGATACTTCACTGGTTGCTATGAGGTGCTTTTCTTTAACATCTTTTTTTTTTTTTTTTTTTTCACTTGTTTATAAAGTTGTATGAGAAGCAAAACATTAAATGTATATCTGTGTGTGTGTGTGTGTAAGATATAACAAAATACAATGGCTGTTTTAAGAGTAATGGGCAACCTCAAAATTAACTATTCTAGATTTGGTGCTCTCCTCCAAATTCATCTGAATTCAAGATCTTTCCATGTTGCATAACAACTTAAAACTAACCAATTATAGCTTGTCTCTACAGCTGCATTTACTTCGATATAAATACCGCTCGTGAGTACATTACGTCATTCTTTCCTAGCTTCCACAACTGTTAAGCCCACTTGCCTAAAATGACATCGTATCCCCATTAATCTGTGTTTATAAGAAATTATCGTAATTGTTTATGATCAAAAAGTATATTATCTATGAAGATTTATTCTAATGTGCCTAGAAATAAAGATGGTAATTAGCTGAACTTAGTTTGGTATCAACATCTTCCCGTCTTTCACTTTCCCATCATGACTTCACATTAAAATATCACACACGCACATATATAGTAAAACCAGGCATTCAGCTAATCAGAAAGCTCAAATAAACAGAATATTTTAGGAGATTATAAATTAAAAAAAAAAAAAGTATACAAATGAGAGACAATTGTAAAGGTATCGTAGAACATGTCTAGAATTGCATCTTAGAATCCTACTTATAATATCTGACATATGAATACCTCTTTCCAAAGATGGTGCTTATATCTGCCCTCCCCCAATTTTCTAGTTATCATATTGTCCAAGAATTCTTCCTGAGCTCAATAGTCCTTATAAATGTCTTTTCTGTCAGACCATTTTTGAGCCCCCCCCCTAAAAAAATAGTGTTATTAAGTGCCAGTAATGGATAAGCATGACATCGCACACCGTTATAAGATCTTCATCATGATTCTATGTAAATCTGATTAATTCTTGCTAAAGCAGTTTGGAAAGGAAGTTTTTTAAGAAAGAAAATCAATTAACTGCTGTTTTTATCTGTATTTCCCGTGCATTTTGAAAAAAAATATTAAAATTTGAGACTTTTCTTGTATGGAATAACATACAATGAAGTATTTTTGAAGTTATGAGACCCTGGTATCAAGAAAATAAGGATTGAGTGATATCTTCTGTTTGCAAGTATTCTGACACCACTTATGCTTGAGGAGGCCAAGCATTGTCATCGGTTTCCAAAAACTGTGTGCCAACAGCAACCCTTAACAGTTTAACTAGGGGTTCCGATACATCATCCACATATTTCTGGGCGGTTAGGGAACCTTCTTAAAGGATATGCAGTTTGGTGCAGTCATTTGTCATAATTCCTCTTCAAACCATTACATTTACAGAAACATAATATTTCATGAACAAGGGAAGGCAAGTTGCATGCTCCTTCTTCTTTCCAGATGAAAACACATCTAAAATCACTGTTCAGACTGTACCAGGATTCGTAATAAACAATACTCAGGCCCAATCATTGAACATGATGTTGGCACCAGTTTAAATGGGTCCTTCTGGAAGCTGAAGTGAGTTGAACACAAAACATTGGCTTTCTCACATGCAGTCCCACCTCATTAAGACTTCGTGCAGCACTAGAACAGCTAATCTGAGTTCCTGTGCCATCCTAATGTCTAAAACTAAATCTCTTGTAGTTGCTTTGTGGTTTTAAGCTGATGACAGAAAATGGTCTTCTGATGCAATTGTTGCTGTTAGTCACCCTTGACCAGGCTGTCCATCAACTGATCCAGAGATCGAAAATTGGCTGCAAACTCTTGATATTAAGCTTCGAGGGTTATTCAAATCATTGACGACCTCCATTAGTCTTTGAACCTCCCTCAATTCTACCAATTATTCACCACTTTAGACCATCACTTAAATAATGCCTTTTAGCCATAACTACTGAATACTGAACACCGTCAGAAAACCACTTTAAGCAGCACTACAGACCGAAACTCCAGCATGCGTTTTATTTCACGCCACATTGTCAATCACCTGATTTGCATATTTCCAGCCTTAGTATATATGCGGAAATGCAATTTAGTGTTGAATTGTATCTCATGAACATAAATAATTACAGTATGTAGCATTAAAATATTAATTTAGCATATTTTTCTCATTATCTTTTTAATTTTAATGACCGGCATAAATACTGGTTTCACTGATAATATCTGTTGATGGAAAATAAAATTTGATGTATTTTTAAAAAATTGTTTTTTTCTTAGATGCTTGACATATATGACTGCCATCTTGGTATGCTTAGAATTGGGCCTTACAACTATGAACCACTAAGAGGGGTTGATTTATGGTTAGCTCAGAGTGATGACTTTATTTTAAGAGTAAGATTTTAACTCTTTTTTTTTAATATGCTATTAAAAATTTTAATAAGTAAATAAAATATGCATATATATACTTTTTATAGACTTTGTGGCTGTAAAAATATTGTTTTTCCCTGTATTCAACATAGAAAATTGTCAAAAACGATCATATCCATAGATTGTGCATGTTATTTACAAATATCCAATTTTAATTCTTCAGTAATGTTTTTATCTGAAATGTAGTATAATGTAAAGAAGCAGGAAGAATGTTTGAAAATTTGTTAATTTTAAAGGAAAACTTAATAATGTATTGTAGAATATCTGAAGAAATACAGTCGAAAGTCGTTAATTCGGACACCCATAATCTGGAATGATCTATAATCCGGACCTCAAAGCTACAAACTTTCTGCGCATGCGCGTAAGACCTTGATGCTAAAGCAAAGTTTAGAAATTTAAATCAAGTTCTTGAAAGCACTTAAAACCGGCCTAACTCCAATTACAGTAGTTGAACACGAGGAATCATAGCCTAGCTTAGAAAAACATCGCCGCTAACTTATGTTAAATGCCGCCTTCAATGAAGAACATGGATGCCGCCCACGGCAGTCACTCACATGGTAGACCTCTGGAACCAAGGAACTTATTCTGGAACAATCATCTTGTAGACTGGAACCAAGGAACTTATTCTGGAACAATCATCTTGTATACAGGAACCAAGGAACTTATTCTGGAACAATCATCTTGTATACAGGAACCAAGGAACCTATTCTGGAACAATCATCTTGTATACAGGAACCAAGGAACTTATTCACCGGACTGCACGCATCCTTCTGAAGGGGCTGGAAACCGCACATCTAATTGCCAGGAAAGCGTGAACTAGAAGGGTTGAGCCGGAGTGATACGAGATACTTATAGCAGAAGTAGGCATGAGGTCATCTCACGGCAACCAATCGGCTATCGGCACGAATCGGCTTTTCAGATGACGTAACGTCATGTTTCGTTTTTGCATCTCAATTTGGTTGAAACAGTCCGTTCTCAACGCAAACAGTGGCAGTAAGAAAAAGAAGTAGAAGTAACTAATATATTACGTTAAAAAAAAGAACTAAACTAAATAAACATTTCAAGGAGGAGAGATGATGCAGTAAAAAGTTTATAATAAGTTATATTTTCCAACAAACCTTCACGGCTGCGAATATGCGTGTGCGCGTGCGCAAAGTACCTTTACGAATGCGCGTTTAATGTGTAACGGACGGTATAAGCTAAGCTAAAATTATCTAATTCAGTTAATGTTGCAGATTGCCTTGTTCCTTAATCTTTGAATTGAATTCGGCTTATTATTTTTCGCAGACTGTTAGAGCAATTTTATAAAAGTAAGCTTGAACTTTCGATTATGTCAAATAGAATTTCTGATATATATTTACTAATATGTAAAGGATCTACAAAGCGAAAGTATGTTTCAAAGTACATTAAACAAAAAGTGGAATTGCTGCCTGCAAAAATGGATAAAGGCATATCCTTTGTTATCTAAACTTTAACGTTTGTTTATCTAAACTTTGTTTATCTTTAACACAGGGGGGGGGAAGCAATTAATTGGAAGTTGATCTGTCAGCACTATCCTTATCTTCAGGGCAGATGTTTTTATTTTATTTGGCTTATAATTCCTTACTAAATGTAGTATTTCATCTCGATGTACTCTGTCTTTGATATGATTTAAATCAAACTCCTCGTCATTATAATTCACTTCCGATAGCGAAGAAAGTAACAGAGGTTATTGAAAACGAAAAAATTTCGATTGACAAATTAGTCGCCATTCTCGACACAGCAATTATAGGACTTGAATAGCGGAACTTTGTAACTGAACAGAAAATTATGTCTGTTTATAGAATGAAAGAGAATGTAATATCACATAAAAAACGAAGCAACTTACATTGAAAGAAATGTTTAATAAAGTAAACAAATAAATATTAAGCTTTTTTTTTGTAGATTTTGATACCCTTTAGATCATAATTGTCCTTTATTTCATAAATTACGGTTTCATATTTTTAATTTTTATAATTTCTGCATGCCATCTTACCAGATTTAAACTGATGATCTATAATCCAGAAAAATCGATAATCCGGAATCGCCGAAGTCCCGACGAGTCCGGATTAACGACTTTTGACTGTATATGTAATATATGATGATTACGGAAACATCATATATACAATTTCTGTTTTTTTTTTAAGACTTTTAAAAAAATTAACTTTTGTGCAGGATTTTATTAATTACATGTTAATACTTACTATTTCAAAAGAAAATATTCTGGAAATCCTCTGCTTATCTACAAAAAGACATTACATGTTGTTGAGACCTGCTTTAAGGATTTCTATTCATATCTGAGGCTCTTCTTGAGCTATCCTTAAAATTCAGACATGGTTGATTAGAATTAAGAGATCTGCAATATATCAAATAAATGCTTTAGCCACAGATTTAATTAAACAAAAAGTGCTCTTTAATTAAACATAAAATATTTTGTATTCCTGAGATCTTTCATTCTGTCTTAACATTTTTAGTATGAAAAATCAATATAGTATTCAAATTTTGCACTATTAAGGATCTAGTGTTGTCAAATCATCAAAGTAAATTGCATAGATCTTTATTCTGTTGTTGATAATCTTCATAAATTTCTCTAAGTGCTATCTTGTGTTCAAACTGATGTGAGTTGTCAAAGTTACAGCATTAAAAAATCTGATGTGTGCAACACATGACTTCCTTGTACGGAATATTAAATTATATGCAGTTTTTCTTGCATTTCATTTAAACTTATTGGATTGAATTAAATCTACTTCGCCGACAGCGCATAAACCACAATAGAATAAATGCATTCTTTAAAATTCACTCTAGTAATTGTTTACCATAGCGATAGTCTGGCGCTATCTATATTAAAAATTACAAAGTAAATCTTAAACACTTATTTCCTCGAAAAAATTCCAGAAAGGATTAAGCGTGATTTAATTGGCAGTAATAAATGAAGGCATTATCTTTTTTGTTGTGAAGCTAAGTTCCTCTAGATTGGCAGCAAATCCACTAGTCTGCTGTTTCAAATGTAAACAATCAATGACCGCCATAAAAAAAAGATGCTTAGCGGCACTTAAAAAACTTTAAAATTGTTGATAATTCTAAAAATATTGCATAGCAGATTTAACTAAAGGCATAAAAACCTGAAAAGAAAGATAAGAGCAACATAATTCAATCATTTTTAAAGCAAAAAATGCACGGTTTACAAACATATAACGAATAAAGAACCTGAGATCACTGAGCCGAGTCACCAGAGTGGATGTTTATATACATATAGTTATATACGTTTAGTGTGGCCGATTGCAACCAAAATACGAGGTGCACATCTACAATGTTATAGCAGTTCTATATACAAAATTTCAACGTTCTGAAGCTACTCATTTTTGAGTTATGCGAGATACGTACGCACGTATGTACATACGTTCGTACAGACCCATGAAAAATTCTCTTCAGAATTAATTTTAAAGCAGTTTTATTATTATTATTTTTTTTTTTGGATGGAAACGAGTCTTTTATTCTGTCCTTACGTGCAGATATCATGCAAAAACATCGTTGAATTGCGTTCGATAGCAGTCAAAATGGATATTTTCGTTGAAATATGCTGCCTGAAACTTTTCGCGATTACAATACTTCCTTTTTACTGCGTACAAGGAAGTAAAAATAGATGACTTTAAAATGATAAAAAAGAGAAGAATGCTTAAGATGAATTTTGCTTTGTTCATGTTCATGTGGTTAATATATAGGTTGTGATTTCTAAATGCTCTAACTTTAAAACTGCTTGTCAGAATGAATGGATATTGTACTAGAACAATTGTGACGCAGTGGAATTTTGTTTGGAGAAGGAAAACAATAGTTTCAAAATATGCCGATTGATGGCGCTTTCAGGGTTCACATTGCTGTTGGTATGCAAATTACTAAGATGTAACATGTGCACTGCAGACATGGCTAAGATAAAAATGCAGAGCACTAAGGACACGCGTAAAAAGGATCGTGCTCTTCTCATGAACCTTTCCTATCAGAATGGTGACTGTGCGTTAACAGCTATCAGGAAGCTCCGGACATTAAAGATGTAAAATCCGGCCTAATGACCATATATGGCCTGCGAAAAATGATAGATAAATTCAAAGAGACCATTTCATTTGACATGAAATGAGGTAGAGGATGAAAATCCGTTTCGATGGCGGCAGTGGAAAATGTGGCCTTACAAGAACTGACAAACAGTGATGCTGGAATCAGCAGTGCACTGGGAATTGGTCGAATGTTGGATATGCTTATCTAAATTTTTGCGAAACATCTTACACCATTATCCATAAAAGATAACTCACATGCAGCTGTTGCTGCCTGCTGACCTGGAAACATGTGAATCGTTTGCACTACAATTTCTTGCCCAGACAGAAGTGGATAATAAATGGCCTTTGAACATTCCATGATCTGACAAAGCTCATTTTCATTTGCAAGGTTCTCTAAATTGGCAAAATTGCAGGATATGGCATACAGGATATTGGGATGCCAGGATTTTCTGCATAGATTGAAATGACTCATCACTAGTATTATACTGAAGCTACAAGTCTGTAAAATCATTATTTTGGGAAAACATTTTTTTAAAGTTTCATACTGTGTAGAAATTTAGTTATGTTATTACATAATAATTAGTTTATTTGTATCTTGAATTTATTTCTATTTTAGCTTAGCGTAAAATATTGAAAAGCAAGCTAAGTGCATATGAGTATCTATTGAAACTAACACCATGCAAACTTCTGAGAAATCTCAGGGAATGATAAACAAATTTTCTGTTTAAGTTTGTAGAGACATTAGGTTATTTTGGAAGCAGAAAAGATGAAAAATGAGCAATGCCTTCGGTGGGAATCGAACCACGGACCTCTGGAATACGTGGCCAGCATGCAACCACTACACCACGAAGGCATGTTAAGAAGGTGGGAGAAGTACCTTATATACTCTCCCTTTTAAAGGGCGACTGGGGTTTTAGGGGACCCAATCGCAAACACCCTTTTAGTTCGGGCACCACTGTAGAGACATTAGGTTATTTTGGAAGCAGAAGAAATGAAAAATGAGCAACACCTTTGCCGGGAATTGAACCACGGACCTCTGGAATACGTGCCCTGCATGCAGTACACCATGAAGGCACACTAAGAAGACGGCAGAATACCTTATAAGTGTACATTTTTCCCCCCAAAGATTCCATTTCTTTTCACTTTTTCCTCCCTTTAAATTCTGCTCAGTTAGGATAAATAAATAAAACCATTCTGGAGTGAACAAATCTCAGTAATGAAACTTTTAAGATTGTGGATAATTTTCTTATCTCTGCTATTTCTAGAATAATAAGATTTATACTTATGTTATTATGATATTTATGGTATTATATCCATTTTTTAGTCCCTGTGAAGTATGTTTAAACTTATATTATTGAAAATGCTGTGTTATCTATCACATTTTGTTTGTATTTGTTTCTTTATATAATCATATATTTAGTTATTTCACTTTAAATACAGTATTTATACATCAGTTATGATTTACAATTTAGCTGTGTTCTTTAAGCCGAAAAGTACTTTTTTATTAACTAATTCTCGTTATACTTACTATGCATTGACAATATATATTTACATTGACAAATATTCTTTCTGGTTACTCAAAGAGTTGTAAAATTTATTTACTTGGTATATCTTGGGATTGAAAACGTCTGTGTAAAAGAAAAATTCTGTTATATTAAAGCCAAAGAAGCTTTGTTACTCATTTTGGGATCAGTTTTACAGTTAAATAAAGTTCTTAATTCTTCAATGTATAGAGTGGTAGGGGGTTTTGAGAGATTGATTACCACGCTGATAAGCCATAGTTTGAACCCTAAGCTTGGATGCTTGCTGTTGTATTTTTTCTCGCATTTTGAACAGTGACATTTTAATCCATTGGTATAAAAGCCCTCTTAAATACTGGCAGTAGAAAAAAGGCAAATATCTATACACTTCTGGAATAAGAAACAGGGATGGAACTAAGTAGATAATCCTCGTGGGATTTACTTAATAATAATGCTAGCACTATCTACTCACTGCAGTAAACTTGGTAGTACATGTAATTCAGCATCTGTTTAATTTTGATAAGGAGAACTTTTAAATAGTTTTATGGTTAGAGTTAATTTACAAAATTTTATTTGAAAATTCATGACCATTGAAATTTATTGAGCTGAAATTATTTCTCATGTAATATAAATTTCTGTTTTCAGTCAATTTGAGAAATATATTTTATTTCTAATGTTAAGTATCAATTAAAGAAATTAATACCTATAGTATATTTGTTAATACCTATAATATATAAGAAATTTACAAAAGTTTTAAAGTTAAATTTCAGGTTTTTTCCAAGAAAGGTAGTTTTATTCATTGTATGTGGTTGATTTAGATCAGTTATTTGTTAAGTTTTTGTGAAATAGATATTATTTAATTTGTTATTGAAATATGGTATTAATTTCAGCATCTCTCTACATCTCCTGAAGTTGAGCCACCAAGTTTTGTGTTACAAGTCCGTGCAACGTTGAAGTATATCCAGCAGAATCCCTTTCCTGGGATCACAGTTTTCCCAGACAATCGTCCTCATTTTTATCAAAAAGATGAATCTGGAAACTGGGTTAGAGTTTGTTATTGAGATGAGTATGTTCCGGCCATAAAGGTGTATACAGTGTTTTTCCATATTCTTGCATTGTAGAACCATCTGAGTTACAGATTCTTTGTAAAGAAATGTTTGAGATCTGAATGGATGGACTCATGTAACTAGAAACATTATTTTTTAGTTAAGGATTTTTTTAATTTACTATTTGATTTGTAAGGATTAATGTCCATTTTGCTATGTTATTACCTTCTAGTATGTTATTTTTCAACATGTTTTGTAGAAATATTTTGAGCCTTCTGAACAATTGTTAGTAACCTCTGCCATTTGCTTGAGGGTGAGAATATTTAATTATTATTTTTCAGAGAAATCATAATTTCAGTTGTAAGATGGCATTTGTAGCTATTGCTGTATTATTGAGTTGTGGTTTTTATGGAATAAAAGTCTGAACCTATAAAATAATGAAAAACGTTTTAGCAACTGTGGTAAATATAGTGCACAGTGCTTGGCCAGTACATGTATGTTATATAGTGGAATTTTTTTTTTTTTTTTTTTTTTTTGTAATTTTTGGTGGATTTGAATAAATTTCCATATTGTTTTTCCAGTAAATAACATTTCTTATATATTTTTTAAAAATTTTAGTAATTTACATTAGTGTAATAAAGGCTGTTTTGTATTTTACAGTTGCTTACAGCATGAGAATATAAGAAACATAATTAAAAGTTTTCATTTTAGTAAAGGTAAAATTAATCTTAAATAATAACACTTTTATTGTAATAATTTTATATATCAGTATAAAATTATTATATATATAAATTATATCAGTATATAAGTATTGAATTTGAGGAATTTTTATTTATTAAAAAAATAAGAAATGAAACATTTAATTTTGGTCCTTAATTTACCTGAACTAGTCCTTATTTTATATTTTCCCAAATTTTAGAATCTTCAAAAAAATGCCTTTTTCAGTTTAGGAGAGAGTTTTATCAGTTTGATGGGAAGTATTGTGTTTATATGCTTCACTTGCATTTTTCTTAATTTTTTTTAATGTCTCTTTAGCAGTGAAACTGCACTTGATATTTAACACTTTTTTTTTAAAACATCTCGTTAATTTTTCATGAGATATATATTGTATATCACAAAGTATTTGTGTTTGGTCTCATTTTTTAAAATTAGCTCCCTTTTTTCATATTTAGACTAGTTTATGTAGTCTTCTCTTTCAACAGAATTCTTAATGCCAATAATTTTATTTCCAATATATTTGCAACTTTTGTAAGGATTCATGCACTTGTTACTCAGATTTAGTTAACGCTGTGGAGTCAGTAGGGAAAATGACCGACTCCTGGAATTTTAAAGACTTCAACTCTCTCATATATATTTAAACATATACACATGGGTTACAGCTTATTTTTTTTTAATATTAAAGAAGTAACAGATGCTACAGAAAAAAATTGATGGCATAGCAAATTATTTATATTAATTAGCATTTATTATGAAATGGAAAAACTGGCATTAGTAATTTCTAAGAAACAGTATAGCTTCAGCAAGATCTTTGTAGACCATAGATCCATTTGGATAAACTTCAGAGCTGAGAAGGGTCTTTCCACACTCACTTGGAGTAGGAGTCTTCCTCCTGGTAGGGCTGTTACTGTTAGGGTTACTTCTTTTAACTTTTCAGGATAGATTTTATAAGTTCTAAAAGTGTTATCTTGCAAGAGCAATCATATTTCTCTATTTCTTCAAAGGCCGTGTAGAAATCTTGTTTGTATTTTTCCCTTTTTATATATAAAGAATCTTGGTTTTTTATTTTCATCCACTTTGCCTTAGCCTTTTCAATATTATCCAAATATTTCTCAAAATCTAATTCATCACTGGAAGAGGATGATAGAGATTTAATTGCAATGTCTGCAGTTTGACTGTCCTGATCTGAATACTCCGATTGTTCTGAGAATAATTTCATTCTTATGAAAGTTTATAGATGGCTTTTTTTGCCTTTTTAATTTGTTCGTCATACAATAAAATTCAGTGTTTTGGATCTACATATATTGAACTCAGTAAGCTGTTTTCTTGACCTGGCCCTCGGAGTGCATCAACATATGCTGTGGACTAGTGGTCAGCTTGTCGCAGGACCCTCCGGTGTTTAGTCCCCAAGTGAACTTGGTACTCATTTTATCAACCCATTCAAGGGATGAAAGGCTGAATCAACCTTGCCCAACCTGGGGATCGAACTCCGGACCTGTGGTGTAGTTGCGCAACGAGCTAGCCATTTCACCACTGGACGGTTTTAAAGAAATGAGTCCTTCTGCAATATACCCTCCATTTCAGAAAGAACAAGCATTACATTCTTGATCAATAATTGCTCCTTTTCTTGCTCGCTTCCATAGAATGGCATCAATTTTGGGAGTTCTTGCTGCTTGCCTAAATTTACCATCAGTTTAATCAATAATGACAAATATCACATCCATCCTCCTCCCTTATATTTATTTATTAATATATCAATAAAATAGAAAATAAATATTTATTAATATGTATAGTTCATAAATAAAATTAACTCAGTTTGTCATTAAAGTGTTTTTCAATTCACTTTAATTTCATTTCAAATTCAAACTGTCCAACAAAAACTGGAGTCTGAGTCGACGTGTTTTTTTTTAACGACTCCAGCTCCGACTTCTTTTACTTAAAAATCTGCCTAACTCCAATTCTGACTCCACAACCCTGCTAAATAGTTAGATTTTTTTTTTTAAATTGATATTACATTATCAGTATTTTCATGGATCTGTAAAAAGAATGTAATTTGAATGACTTTATTAAGTAAATTTTTGCCTTTGTTTTAAACTCTGCATAATGTAATTTTTGTAAGGAAATTAAATAATAATACAAATGTATAAAATATCTTTCAATAGAAGCATTATTCATAATTTTTAATATTATATCTGTTGAATTTGGAAAGTTTGGTTGGAATAACGAATGAAACTTCCTAAAGTGAAATGCATTTTGAATATGCTCAAAGAGTTGAAGCTGGGTAAATGTTCCATATATATAATTGCACGGGCATGCAGTGTCGTGCAGTTATATAATCTCTGGAAGTCTGTACTACTTGCATATAAACTTGTATGCATATTTTAGAAATTATGAAATTCTAAAATAGAATATTCTGCAAGATGATTCTTTTTAAGAAAAAGTTTGAATTTTTATTTCAACTAAACACAGGTTTTGGTGTTGAGATCAACCATTAGTCACTTAATATTTTTAATCTTTCTGAATAAATGCTTATATTTATTAGCAAAATATGCATTGCATTCTGCAGCTATGCTTTTTATTTTTTTAAAATATGCTGTAGAAAATCTTAATGTGATTATAAATAAAATAGTGGTATAAATATTAAAAAATATTGATATCACTTACTGTAGCCATAAAGCAATTCTGTTGTGCATGAAAAATAATTAAATGTACATAGGTGAATCCTCAATTGAGCATTTGCTCTCTATAGTTGTGCCTTTGTTATATATGCTTGTTATGTTTGTAAGTATGCATAGTTTCACTTTCTTCCAAACAACTGAAATATAAACTAAGTTGTTTTATTATTAATTTTTACCTCAGTGAAAGAAATATTAAATTCGTGTTGTTATTCGTGTCACTGTTTCTTGCCGTTTTGAACATTACTGCACTATACATGAGCTTGTATTCTAAGACATGACTATAGTAGCTAATGCAGTATTTAGAAGTAGCTCTGTTAAGCCATCAGTGGCTTTCAGTTCCATGAAATATTTTTTTTGCACATTACAAATTTTTGAATAATAAGCATTTATTCACATATGAAAGTTTTGGTCATTCTAAGAAGGCACAAATATTTAGTTCTGAAAGCAAAAGAAAAAATAAATAAATAAATAAATAATAATAATAATAAAGTGTTTTTTTCCTGTGTTGTTTCTTCTATTGTAGCTTTTCTTAAGTTATATATGTATTTTGCAGTTAACAGCAAACTTTTTGGTTGTGCCATAATTCTGTTTTAATTATGAAGGTGCTTCAAAGTGATGTCTTTTTAAAATATGCATTTTTTCGTTGTGTAGAAATGTGTAATTGTTAACTTTGATTCTCTATATATTTTGTTATTTTTGTACATCTGTTGAATTATGTTTTTATGTAGTAAATCAAAATGAAAACTAAATTTGAAATGAAATAATTCCTTTCTGGAACTTCTTTATGGAAAAAAAATATATCCAGTGTTTGATTTGAAATTGAAAAATCTATATATTTTTATAATGCTTATATAGCTACATAGCAGTTATTTTATTTTTAAAGTAAGGAAATAGGTCTGTGATGTGTCTTTTTGATATATATGTGTATATAATTATGTACATCACATGTTCTGTGCTATCCTAATATAATTTTAGAACAACTCTTTGCTCAAAATTTGAAGAAGATATTGTGATATTTTTTTCTCCATCAATAGCACCTCAAGTCGATAATTGTATACCTTTTCCTCAAATGTATAATTTTATGCGTAACTATTTTATAATGGGAGTGGATAACATTGGACTTTCCAGTTTCATTCATATGCAATTAGGGAGCTTAAAAGCAATGTTTTGCGGATGCTTACAACACAGCTTAGAGATAAAGCTGAGTCTAAAATAAAATGAATAAAACTGAGTTTAAAATTTTAAGTAACATACATGTTATTTAAATTTATTAAAGTGCTAAAAAGTCAGTGGTGATCAAAATGTTAATGCCTATGAATTGGTTTGCAAACAATAAATTCAGTGCTCTGCTTTCGGTGCATACAACAATTTTTTAATATATTTTCTATTTTATCTGGGGGAGGGGATTCCAAAAATTTGTTTGCAAGTGAAGAAGCAAAGGGGACAAAAATTAAAGAAGAGTAATTTTTTTTTTTTTTTCATTTTTCTGATTTAATTTAGGTTGTGTACAAATTTGTTTTCTCTTGCCATTAGACATACAGCTATGCTATTATATTTGAATCTCCAGAAAGTTTAGAAAATAGCAGATTGGTCAAATGAATGAAGAAATTCCCAGTTTAAAACAATAAAAACAGTCATCTTATATATTATCAACTTAAATATCAGAAGACTACATTTAAAATTATACATGGTTTAAAAAATGCATGACATTTCAGACATGAAAGTGAGCATATTTTATAGATTTTAAACATATTAAAATAAAACATGTCTGGTTACAAAATCCTGTCAGTTGCTCAATCTACCAGAAGTTTATCTACCAATTTTCTTTGTTTAGTTAGATAATCAATAGATATAAATTATGGGTATAGCATATAAAAATTGAAATTGCTTTCACATTGTATTGCTTATTTATCTGTTGTTAAGTAACGTCTCGTATTGTGCTCATTAACGCACACTTTTCTTGATGCCAGAATCTGAAAATACTCTACTGCCTACTGTTCTGTAGAAAGTTGATCCCCAATCTGAATCATTTTTTTTTTTAAT